CAGTGAGTCTTTGAATGTGGCTCTACCAGCCAACGTCTCTAATTCCCACCAAATGATCTTTCCCTGAATCAGTCTCTCTTCTGAGAAGCAGGAGGAGGAGGGGAATCTCATTATCAGCAAGAGCCAGGAGTCAAGTGCACCCTCTGGGCCTGAGATCCCTGTGCAGCGAACCACTTGGATTCCGACGACAGCAGTACTATCAGAGGAGCAGCAACGAATCAGGAGTGGGAGCATGGCGCAGGGCGACGGACTTCTCCACCCACAGAACAAGTAAAGACGAGTGTTTTGTGCAGGAGGCTGGCTTGCTCAGTGGGGCGCCTCTGGGCACTTAATGGCTGGGGAAGGTGGACTTGTTGACCCATGGAAGTGGAGCTAAGTGCTTTTCAATTGAAGCTGACTACAGTGGGGTGCCTCTGGGCATTAATTCAGGGAGCTGGGTTTGCGGCCCCATGGAGCTTAAGCTGAAAGCCTTCAGTTTGAGACTTAATAGCAGAGTGGTAGGCCTTTGGGGCATTGGTTAGCAAACTTATCAGAACTTTGTAACATGCCCGATAAGCAACTAAACCCTGAGCATTTCTCACTTGCATTACAACTTGTTAACTTTCTTAATAAACCCTTTAATCATAAATATTGTCTGTGAGTTCTGTGTAGACATTGCAGTGGATCGATATTAGAACCTAGATATAGAGAATATTAATTAAGACTTTACATCTTGGGCTTACCACAGGCCAGCAGATTGAAACCACCTCCTGCTCCAAGTGGAGAAAGATCAAACTTTCTACTCCCATAGAGAGTTACAATCTTAGAAACCCACAGGAGCAGTTTTACTCTGTCCAATAAGGTCGCCAGGAGTCAGAATCAACTCGATGGCAGTGAGAGAGCAAACAGGGGCAAAGTTATGAAAAAGTCTTTGCTATAACTAAACACCTTAAGAGAATGAGTTACTGGGCTCTGGGGCTTAGAAGCACAGTCTTGGAAAATAGCCAAGTTAACTGGTATAATGTAGTTCACAATGTCAAGGCTCTACATCCTCTGCATTAACAACTGGGATCTTATAAAATACAGCTTCCACTACCTTGAAACAGAAGAACTACATGGTGCCCAGCTACCACTACTGACACTTCTGTCACGGACAACAGAGGACCTAGATAGAAGGGGATGAAAATGTAGAGCACAATGCAATACCATAACAAAGGTCTGATAGAGACTGGTGGGACTGCCTACACTATGGCCCTCAGACATCCTTTAAACCTGGAACTGAACCCACTCCCAGAGATCACCTTGCAGCCAAACAACTGATGGGCCTATAAAGTGAACAGTAGCACATGGAAGGAAGTAACTTTCAGAGCAATTAACAATACCAACAAAAGGGGGCAGTGTTTACTCCAAAACAAAGCTGCTAAGGCAAGAAAAGAAAAGGAGCCAGGAAGGAGTGGTACAATTCCTACTACACTGGGGAGGGAGTACCAACTGGTAAGAAACAAAATGTGCATAGATTGTTGAATGGAAAACTAATTTGCTCTATAACCACACACCCACACCCACACCCACACCCCAAGGATAATGAAAAGGACGAAACTTACTGGCACCACTGCTCTCTTTGTCCCCAGCATTTTTAGCTAGGCTCATGGCATATTCACATACTTCTGCGGCCTCTCTTTGTGCAAGTTGCCGGAGACATGCTACAGCGGCCCGTCGAAGTAACAAGTGGGAACTACATAAGTGAACCTGTAACCAATAAGAATTTAAGGGGGGAAAAATTGAAGCTAATTCTTTAATGCCACCGGCCTAATGAATATGCAGTATTAAGTTACTTGTGAAGAAACTTCATTGTGCAAGTCCACCAGTTTAAAACAGCCAAACACAGGGAATCCAGGGCGGATGATCCCTACAGGACCAGTGGTGTGAGGGGCGAAACAGGGAGGATGGAGGGAGAGTGGGT